AGAAGGGCTCTGACTTCTAGGCTCCTGCTTTTTCCTGTATCCAAAAGTGGCCTGACTTCCAGATATCCCAAATTATTCAAAATAATTAAGGAAAGAAACAGCTGCATGTAAAAGGATAAACATTTATACACATGCTCTTGGGCACACTTGGTTTTATGTTTGCTGTATATTGCTTTTTTAAATGGTTTTAAGGTAACCTTATTTAAGCTCTTATTATGAGTCAAGCACTAACTATAAATATGTACTAACTTATTTTATGCTCTGAACAACCCAAACAGAAAAGTATTATAATTCCTATTTTACAGATTTGAAAACTGAGGCACAAAGGAATGAGGCAACTTGCCCAAGTTCCTGCAGCTAGTCTGTACTGGAGTCGATATGCATAAACAAATAGATTCAAACTGCTTTGAGATTTTGATGGTTCTGTGCACAAAATTCACTGGAGATTTTAAGAGCATAAGTCTAAACTTCAAAGGCAGCGATTCTCAGCCCCATTGGACCCCAAAATGAGCTCTCCTTAGAACAAATATTTTGTGACTTTATCCGTCCTAAAATGAGATTTATAGATAACTCACTACACACACAATTAAAAAAAAAATCAATACAATGCCCCAGTGATATACATACAGAAAGAAGAAAGAAAGGAAAGCAACTTGTTTCTAAATGTAAAGGCTTGGGCAGACTTAAAAAAGACTCAGATGCTAACCCTTTATTCAAAACCACCACGATGTGACAGCTTCAAATCCAGACAGATGCAGTTGGTCAGACTGGCAACTCAAACACAGTTGCACTGATCCTGTTAATGTGATTTTCCCCAGCAAAGTTTGATTATCCCTTGATTTGCACAGTGACTGTATATCTGAAGAATTCAGTGTACACTGGGGCAGTGCAAAAAATATAGGTAATATGGGATTATGTTTTTTCACCAGTAGGAAGGGTGGACATTCCAAAGTCATGCTGATATACATCTACCAAGTCTTTGTTGTGCAGGCTGCTCCTTGCATTGTAGGGTGTTTGTTACAACTGAGTCCCCCTCAGTGAATGCCAGTAGCACATCCATCTCCACCCTAACTCTCTAATGCCAAAGATTCCCCCACACGATTCCATAATGTCCCCTAGAGGGTGGAACTGTCCCCACTAAATACCATCTAGTTGTCAGATTTCTCTAGTAGCTGTACTTTTGTCATTGGTTTGGAGAACAGTTTATGTCCATTAGACAAATTAACACTAAAGAATTCACATCTGCAAATTTCCCATCCTGAGCAGGATGCCCCAGTCAATTTAACTGGCCATAAACTGGTTAAAATTAGAGAGATGTTGTGTACATCATTGCAATATGACATTCAGTGACACTAGATCAAATCATATCATGAAGTAATTGGTGTACATGCCTTTGACCTTCTCTCTGGAAGCAATGTAGCTGATATTATTATTCACAATTTTAGGTAAAAAGCCCATCCTGTGATAGATTTCTAGGTATTGTCCCATCCAACAATTCTTTGCTGAACACCACTTATGGGTCAGGTGCTGGGTGAGATGAATAAAAGATAAATAAAATGCACTTCCAACTCAAGGAGACACTATCTACCATAGGCTCTGGCATGATGACAAAGACAAATACTTGTGATAAAATGTTACAGATGCTTTGTAAAAGAAGCACGTTATTGTTTTGTGCTCTCTGTGGTAACTGTGATTATAGGGGAGTGCAGGATACCCTGGCAGCACTTACAAAGGACACTGTTCATTCCGAAGGTATTGACATTGGACCTGAGCCTTGAGAGACACAGGATTTGAATGAAGAAGACCGGGCAGAGGAAGAAAGAGAGGGGGGCTGGAAATAAGGGAAAAATATATCAGGCAGAGTAAAGAATTCATAGAGAGGCACAGAAGCACCCACCCATGAGCCTGAAAGAACAAGGAACATTTAAGTATCCAGAAGTAGAGCGAGGCTGGAGAGAAAAGCAGGGACAGATTAGAGATCTTGAACACCATGGCATTTGAATAGATGTCAAATGCAAGAAGGAGTCTGGAAGGATTTTACAGGGGAGGGTGATGGGATCATATCTTCATTTTAGAAAGATTAGCCTGCAAAGGTCAATAAAATCTCTTGGAATTTTGAAGAGCTTCTCATCACAATCTGCTAAGCCCCCAAAGTACAGTGGAAACGAGTCTGCTTTTGTTACTTTCAGAAAGAATTTGAATCCAGCATCCTCATATCACAATAATTGTGATAAACAGAAGTTCTGCAGTTTGAAAGGTCATTATGCCAATAATGGATAACATTTATTAAGCACTATGTGTGTTCCAGTGCTTTATGAATTGTATCACTGAATCTTCACAACCCTGAAGAAGGGACTATCATCATGCCTATCCTGCGATGAAGAAATCAAGGTGAGAAGGTTAAACACTGTGCCCGAGGATGGACAATGACAATACCATAGGGGACAGATTTGAACCCAGGTGGTCTACTTTTAAATTCTACATTCTTTGTAGAAGGAGGCCTAATTTTGTCAGGAAAGAAAAAAATATCCAACATACTTTTCAGAAAATCTATTGGGGAAAAAGTCATCAGTTACACCATATTGTACATATCCTATTGATATCAGGGGATTGTAATCATCAAAGGAGAGCTTATGCTGCATTATGAGAATGTTGAATAAAATGAAGCATGAATAAAAACACTAGAAGATAAACATTTTTCCCTTTACACATGAGAAATGAGATTCCAGAGGGTGACTGAGCATGGATTTTGAAGCTATAGTGCTGGGGTTAGTTTTCTGGTTCTGTCACTTAAATGTGGAGTCACTTTGGGCCACTTAAGTTCACTGTGTCTCAGTTTTCTCATTTGGCAAACAGAAATATTAGCTACCTTATTGTTGACGGTTGTCTTGACAAGAAGTTACAGACACTCTCCGGTCACTTGCATTCTAGTGGGCAAAAAGCTGTGTAGTAAGGATAAATGACAGAAACCAGATGAAATACTCTAGAATAAAAATGAAAGGCTACGTACTGTGGGAGGGCAGATGCCAGTGTTGATTAGGGGTAGGGAACAGAGAAAATGGTCCTAAAGTTTTATCAACTAAGTCCTTGATAACCCATGGCCCCTTTGGTATTTGGCCACTTCCTGCTATTGCCTTGAGTAGGGAATCCTCTCATGCTGTTGGGTACTCATCGTCTGTACATTTCTTTCACCATCTGCTTTAGAGAGCACATTTATAGACAGGTGTCGTGGCAGGTGCCTGTAATCCCAGCTACTCATGAGGCTAGGCAGAAGAATTGCTTGAACCTGGGAAGCAGAGGTTGCGGTGAGTCGAGATCATGCCATTGCACTCCAGCCTGGGTGTCGCAGTGAGACTTTGTCTCAAAAGAAAACAAAAAAACCAAACTGTTCCTTGGAGACAAACTAATTCTAAAATACATGTGCTTTTCTAACCAAAAAAACACAAGCACATCTGATATAGTAAATTTGCTTTAAAATAGTTATGTTCCAAAGTGAACAGATTGTACACTTGTCCAAATGGATAGATTATTCCTTATTTTCCCCACCTGTTTTATTTTTGTTACTATTAGCTACTTCTCATGGAGAATTTACCAATTGACTTGAATCCATAGGAAATTTTCTCTCTAAAATGAGATAACCAAAAAACTTCCTAAAGTAGATATAGTCACAACCAGGAATTTGACAGATTTCACTGGGTTAGGATCATTTTACCTTTGCATAATGTAAAACATTTATTTAGTATGTCTTCAGGAAAACTAAGAATTTACAGGCATGTTAGACTATTAATGGAACAAACTGTTAACATATTTTTACATGCACATGGTTATTTTAAAATTGTAATTAAACAGTAGTTAATGAAATTATTCTGACAGGAAATCCTTATTTAAATTGCTAGCTACACAGTTTGTACTTGAAAGTAATAAAAACTGAATGGCAAGAGGTATTTCATATTTTCCAATATATTTTATTAGCCTACTTTGAAACTATCCAGGTTAGGAAGGTCTTTCTTCATTAAAGTGAGGTATTTCTGTGTTACTGAAATGGAAGCTTTAGGTTAAAGATGCCCTATGCATACAAAAAAAAAAATTAAATGGGGATGACATATTGGATTTATGGAAATGTATTTCCAGTTTGCTTTTTGCTTGTGGTAGTATTAGAAGGCATCTTAAACTACAGATCAGTGGAAACACAGTGCTTATTTTAAGGAGAATGGAGTTGAATGTGAAAATTATTTTATACAATTCAGAGGTAATATATCCATAAACTGTTTTGCATTGAGGTCCCCTCCCAATTGTCCCAGTGAAGACTGTGGGGGAGGACATGGGACTCCAGGCAGCTAAGCACAGGCAGCCTCAGTCTAATAAAATCAGATGCTCCTCAAATTGCCTCTCCAGGGCCTCTTTGAGAACTAATCCTATTCTTGCAATTTACCTAATTGTATCTTTTGTTGTTTCTCTTTTACCAAAGGACACTTGTTTTTGCTGAAGTGATTGTTTTCATTTCTGATGCTGTTTATACTTTTGTCTCATGTGCTCATTTTATTATTTTCTGGTTACTTCCTTCAAATGTTATTGGCTAAACTTGACCACTTTCTCGTGAACTTAAAACAATTCAGTTGGTTTGAAAACATAATTGACCTAACATAAAAGGTTGAAACCAGGAATTAGCTGTTTACTTGCAAGCCAATTTAAATATGTAACAGGGACAATCCCAGGAGTCTTTACATACTGAAGTCACAAAATACAGTAATTTTATTAAAAAATTGTTATTTAATTATAAAAACTACCAATTTTACCAAACTAGAGTTAATACACTCCATTTCATGTTTGATTTAGCTGGATTAAAATGAAGGGATATTTTATAAATCACTGGGGTTGTAAACAAAATGTTTAAAAGCTATTAAATGGATACATCTTCTCAGACTAGTTACTGCTGGATTTGAAGGTTTTAGAAAGCAATATAATTTCCAGAACTAGCAATCAAAACTTCAACAATTTTCTTTAAGTAATGGTAAAGTTTATTTTAATAACAATTAGAGGACAAAATGTTTAAAATTTGCAGTTTAAAACATGCACATTCGCAAAAGGCCAATGACACATAACACTGCATAGAGATAATATTACTCAACTTTAATAACTATAAAACACAGTGCATCAAACATCAAGATAAACAAACCTGAGAAAACTACTATAACCACAGATTCAATATTCTCCACTCATGCAGCTTCACAACTTCTACAGCAGTTTCAGCAGGAATGGTTTTGCAGGGAGCTGAAAATACTACTTTATCTTTAATGCAAAACTGCAGTTTTCTGTAGTAGCTGCCTTCCAAGGATGCCCTTTTTAACCTAATAAACTTGAAAATGTAAAAAATGAAGATTGACATAGTTAAACAACAGATAGTATTTACTATATTTATGGCTTCTATTTAGAACCACAAAACATAAAAATATTACTTTTAACTATTCTGCTCACATTTTTGCAAGAACAGATTTACCTGTGGAAAGTTGCTGTTAATTCAAAGTAAGCTAATATGAAATCTAGTTTTCCTACTTAAGAGAGATTTATTTGCTGAGAAGTTTTGGGAGCTTTATTAAAAAAAATTCTTAGAGGCAAGCTAAACAAAAGATTCAATTAAATTTGTTCAAATTTCTTTGTAAAATAATCTATTTAAAAATTATGCAGAGGACCAACTAATTTGTCTACTGAATATTAAATTCCAGGTAGGCCATGATAGAACTTTATAAGGCAGAAATAAACATCAAGATTTACAGCAATAGCCATGCATTGGCCTGGATCACTTTAAATATGAATTCATGCAAACCATAAACCTATCAAAAACACAGCTGTTCTCATACAGAAAATAAATCAAGACGAAATATGGAAAACATTTATTTCCTTTCCTTCAAAATTTAACTTACATTCTACTTTAATAGCTGTCCAAGGTTAATTAAAATGTAGCAAAGTATAACTAAGTTACACAAGTGACTTCAGTTATTTTAATGTGAGAAAAATCAGATTATGGTATCTTATGAGGCATTATAGAAATGTTCATCATTAAAAAGCATTTATCAGGCACTGAACTGCATGGTGTTACCTTAAGTCATTTACAAAATGAATTCCTGGTCCATGTGATGTGAATGGGATGGGTATTTTCTCCCTAAGTTTTGTGGATGACTATTTATAAGATTATATGCCTAACAGGTTTTAAAACCAGGAGCTATCAAAGAGAAACTGCACAAAAATAAACATGATTATTTAGCTTTGTAACAATTACGACACTGTCATAATTTAAAAACTATGAATAATACAATCTGTTAACAGCATTCATTTCCTGAAAACACATTTTAAATGACAAGTTCTAAGTGTTGTAAAGTGCACACAATGCAAAACAAATTATCATGTGACTTTCACACTGGATATTTAGAATGCTGAAGAGCAAAATTAAAGTATAAAATTTAATGATCAGAATAAATGCTGATTGATTTCCAAAATTCATTTCCCCTTTGGAAATTAAAGAGGAATCACTGATTCCATTTAATGGCCATACAATTCACGTAAATGGCTAACACTGTTTAGCAGAATATACATTCACCTGACTTGATTAGGAAAAGTTATCCATTAACTTAGCAACACTGCTGAAGCAGTCTCACATTAGAGCACAGAGTGGAGGTGGGAGGACAGGAAGTACATATATCATTTGAAATTTACAACGTTCCTGAGAAACACTGTTTTCCCCCTAATAATTTCCACAATATAACATCTTTCTGGGTGTGAGACACCAATATATTTTTATATGTATATATAAAACATTTAGAAAGTCCATGCTCAGTACCACTGTGTACTATTCAACATGAAAGAAGCAACTTTCAGCTTTTCAATGCTAAATGAACTAGGATTTTCTATTATAAGTCGTATTTTCTGAATTGTAAACATTGTAAAGCAACTGTGTTAGCATTTGCCAGAGTCCCTATAAGGAACTTTTTAATTGAAGAGTATGTGCCTTTATTTCAGAAAACACATGTTAAAAGTCACTTCGGCTGTTTATTTCAATCCTGGTAAAACCATGTGACTTTTTTCCAATTAAGGAAGGTTTAAAAAAATCAGACTATTTTCTCTAATGTAACACTGTAAAGTCACTGCAATTGCAATGTTATATTTTAAGTTTTACCAAGAAGGTCACTCCCTGCCCCTCAAACCCCGAGTCTCACCCAGGAAGCAGAGAGACTAACAATGTCAACAATTCAAAAATAGGACCATGGGACAAAGAGGCTCAAATTAGTCACGTTTCAGATCATGTTACACATTATCAACTGTTTAAGAGCTCCACAGAAACAATCCATGTTTCAAAATTAAAATAAAATTTATTAAGTCAGAAAATCCAGTTCTATTATATTCATAATGTTTTTATGTTAGAATTCTGCAGAAGGGTGCCGCTGATGAAGTGAGGGCAAATGGAAGCAGCTCTGCTGTGTAACTGCTATAAAGCGTTTCTCTGGAGGGGTGCACTTCATTCTTGCTTTCTCATTTTTTGTGGTTTGACCTCAGCTATCACCACTGGGCAGCTCAGGAAAAGCCACTCTGAATATCCATTCACTAGACAGATAAAGTCTGGGACTTCAGAATTTTGAAGATGATCTTAGACTCTTACACCTGTGGCCTTGCTAGATGTGTTGATTCATGACTCTCTTAATCTGTACCCCAAACAGGAAGGGCTTGGGAAGTAATGTGTGTAAATGCATGTTCCCTTAAGGTTAGAATTATGTATATGTGTTATAACCTCTTATTTGTAGAAAATGTAGAGGCATACTGGTAACTAAGGAGCCACAAATACAGACAAGGAAATGATATATATCCTAATTTTAAATCTAGATTGAGAAGAAGGGCGAAAAGAATGTGAGAATATTAAACTCAAGAAGAGATCTGAAAAAAAATGACCTCTTCTCAATTCTAGTTGACTTTATTTAGAGTTCTACCTATTTTGCTGGTAAATCCATGTGAAGGCAAGCAGGCTTTTGAGTAAAAGGCAAATAGTTTGCTTCAATCTCTGAGGTGTATCTGAAAACTAATTCGTTTTTCCAAACAAAAGTATCATTAAAAACTAGTGTAGAAAACTGGCTGTGGTTTTAAACAGCCCCTTCATTTGCTGTTGGTAGCAAAATAGGCAATTTCAGATGTCTTGTAAATGCTGAAAATAATTAAACTCACATAGATTTTAAAACACACCAACAAAACCTACTCATGATGAAAGTGTCCTCTGACTATAAAGTTACGGACTTGAGTACAATCAGCATTTTTAAAATGGGGAAAATGTACTACTTATTTGTCCCAATAAGCAGCATGTGATGAATTTGGGGAACTATTTGATGAGTGAACGGTGAAATCATTTTCAGTCTTCAGTATAGGGGCAGTCACCATATCACTGGGTATGCTACATAAGACAGCGGGTATGTCTTGTGGGAACACATAGTGAGAACGGACACACAGGACAAAAGCTGAGCCTATGTTCATGACAAAAGCCCATGCATTTATCTGACATGTTATTCCAAATACTGCAACAGAAGCTTTAAAAATCCCACGTAAATATGTACTGTATATTTCTTAACAGGAAAAACTTTAAGACAAAATGACATCACTCAATCTACTAGACAAGCCAAATTTTTAGAAAAATCTAGATGATGATGAAACTTTATCAGAAACAACTGAAACATACATACAATTTAAAAAATCAGTGTCATAATAAGAGTCACATTAACACGTGTGTCCTCTAACAAATAAACACGATAAATAACAAAGAAGCATTTGTAAGGCCAAAGGTGCAACATCACAGATTTTAGTAGCAAATGCCTTGAAATATTCATTTTAAATCACTCTTACATTTGAAAAGTCAGGCATGCAGATCTTACAGCAGAACTGGAAGTAAACTTTCTCTTACATTTCTGGGCATATGACTACTGAACTAGAAATACATTTATTGAACCTCTTTGGCAAACATTTATCAAGACAATTTTGACAAAAATGCTTGTTAATAATGCCTTGTTTAGAAATTTTGCTCAGGAAGATTGAGTCAGTTCCTTAAGAATGCTGGTTTGTTTCAGCATATCCTGAAATCTAAGCCTGGATATCAAGAGTCCCTTTAACTAAATACCATTTAGAGTTTTTTAATGGTTGGTTACTTTGTGGTACAGCCAATAAATTGATAGTCAGTTACAGCCCAAGTAATGGCATAAGAATACTGACTTTTTCTCCATATAAGAAAGCACTCTGGCAAGATACCAGGTCATTTTCGATTTCCATTTACAAAGACTTAGCAAATACCTTAAAAAATCCAAAAGATATGGTGTTACAGTACAGTTGCACAGTGCTTATGTCTATAATATACATAAATCTGAATGTCCATCAGCGAGATGAGCTCAGATCCACCTTTCCTCTCCATGGATCAGACTGGGATTGGTTAGCAGACTGTGGTGACAACCTGGTGGCTCTCCTTAGAGACATAACAGAGCCTGCCTTTTAGGCTCTCCCCATCACCATTCATCGGGCCTCTGTTTCGTGGTATCATATGCTCTAATCACTTCAGACTGTGAAACGATTCCATTTTCATCTTGAGAGAAAGCATACCCATCTAGAAGTTAATGATAAAACATGAATTATCACAAAGGCACTGGAAACCACTGTCATTCTGCCTTTTGAGTATTCATTTTCTAGCTTGAGAACAAATGCAGCCTTCCCACCTTCAAAAGCATGGAAACACTGATTTTTAATGTCTAGAAAAGACACACACTTAACTTCAAAATAAAGAGTGGGATGATCATAGGTTGCCAGTTTAGATTCTAGGAATTCTTCTCCCTAGAACACTGAGGAGGCGCCCTCAATCCCCCTAAATCCTCTGTTCTATAAATCAACTCCAACCCTTCTAACTTTTGCTTCCCTAATTCTGGAGGGGGTGAGGGAGTCAAGTGGACTCATATATTTCCATATAGGTCAGGTAGATGAGAGGGAAGGAAAAGTGATATGTAGGTGAGGTGGTGAATAAGGTCATTGATTCAACCATCCCACCATGTACAGTCCCTTGGTATCTGTGGGAATTGCTTCAGGAATCCCCTTGAATATCAAAATCCATGGGTGCCCAAATCCTTTATATAAAATGGCACAGTATTTGCATACAATCTACACACATCCTCTTGTAAACTTTAAATCATTTCTAGATTACTAATTTTTATTTTTTTTGAGACGTCTTGCTCTGTTGCCAGGCCAGAGTACAGTGGCATGATCTTGGCTTACTGCAACCTCCACTTCCTGGGTTGAAGCGATTCTCCTGCCTCAGCCTCACAGTAGCTGAGACTACAGGCTCCCACCATTACGCCCAGCTAATTTTTGTATTTTTAGTAGAGACAGGGTTTTACCATGTTGGCCAGGATGGTCTTGAACCCCTGACCTTGTGATCGGCCCGCCTCGGCTTCCCAAAGTGCTGGGATTACAGGCATGAGCCACCATGTCCAGCCTCTAGATTACTTATCATACCTAATACAATGCCTCTACATCAGTTAATTCTAGTGGATTCAATGTACTATTTGGTTTATGGCAAGTTCAAGTTTTACTTTTAGGAACTTTGTGAATTTTTTTCCCCCTTGAATATATTTGACTCACAATGGGTTGAATCCATAGATGTGGAACCCACAGATACAAATGGCCAACTGTACATCAAAACATCATCTTGTACTCCATAAATATAGAAAATTATTATTTATCAATTAAAAATGGTGAGGAAGAGGAGATAAACACAAATAGCTGCTAATGGTGGCAAGTGGTCTCCTTCCTTCTGAGGACATTCCCCTTGACTCTCAGCATCTACAAATAAACTCACTCATGCCCCAACATGGTTGGCAGGGGCATGGGATAAGGAATGACCTCCAAGGGGATTACATCTTTAGAAAAGGGCTCCCAAAGTATAAAGAGCAAAAGCATTAGACATGAGTATATGTAAGTGAAAATAAATTATATGTGGAAACAACACGAAACAAAAGATATATTACTAACACAAATACATTTACTACAGGGCTTTACATTTTATATTCTTTTTTAGATCTTGAAATGTTAAGAGGGCAAATATGTAATAATTTCTTACAACTCTAAATATTCATAAATATTTCTGAAGGGAAAAATATATGTTTCCTTGTGTTGTATGAAAACTGAAAGGCTCTTGCAAAGTTATTCAAGTAGAAAAGATAACAAGACAGAGTCAGCTTTTAAGAGTTAAGATTTACTGGCTTTAAAGAAAAAGATTTAAGGAAGCAAGGAATGTAGAAATATTGCTTTTCTTTAAGTGAAACAGCAAGCTTTTATAATGAACTATCTCTTCTGTTAAAAGTGAAATGGTTCTGACCAATGGATTTTCTGTTATTTACAGGTTGCAAATATGCAAAACTTGTTTTAGGCATTAGTTTTAAATAGCTAAATACCCTAAAGTCAGGATATTATATAAATGCTATGATACAGTAACGACAGATAATTTATTTAAAAATAAGAAACTCAAATACTCACGGAGCAGGTTTTGTTGCAAGGATTCAGAGCGGTACAAGTTCACGTGGTTCTTCTTAAAGACGTTCTTGAGCAGTTGCGCCCTCTCGGTCAGGCTGCAGAGCAGGTGCAAACGTGTGAAATGAATTATCAACTCGGCAGAGACCCCAGTGTGCCCACAGGACCACCAAAGAGAGTTAGACTTAAACAAAAGATTGCTTGAGAAATCTGTAGCCTAGTGATTCTTTTTATGCCATTTTCTTAGATAGCAAATGAGATTTCAAGTATTCAGACAGACTTTTGAGGCCATTTTTTTTTTTGTAACTAAGGAGTTTTGTCCCCGGTACTCCTCCTCCCAGTAAAAAGTAAGATCTTCTCACCACCCTCAACTCAGTTATATTTAAGTCAAGCGACAACACAGAGCCCGTACAACACAATTAGCTAAAATAAAAAATACATCAGCAGTGTTATTCACCTCTAAGAGCTTGCCGAACTTACTACATATCATCTAAGCATGGCATTTTTAGAATGACAAAACCTTATTACTATATCCTTTTCATATTTGGCACATTTTGGCGCAAAATATTTCTAGTTGAAAATATTAACTAAAGTAAATATTAACTAACATTACACAAAGAAGACATTTCATAAACTTTTCAATTAGAAAAGTTTCACCACCACTCTAATACGGTATGACATGTGTTCCTTAATTTGATTTTAAAATAAGCTATTTTCAGAAGAAATAATTATGATAGGTGAAATAACAAGGAAAGTATTTTTCAATGAGTGTTTAGAATAGTTGTCTCCTCAGATCCAAATCTAGATAATTAATTATGTAACTTCTAAAAGCACATTATAAAAAATTAGGCATCTTCCCCCTGCAACTTCACATAAAACAGTGCCCCACACAGTAGAAACTCAAATAGTTGTTGAATATACTGTTGAGTAATAATTCTGAAATGTATTTATAGACATCATCATCTTCCCATCGTGTTATTTCTTCATTGTTTGATTTGTAACATTTTGTTTTGATATTAAAGAACATAACAGGCATGAGACACAAATAAATAATCCATATGTGTTTCAGCAAATGTTTATGCAATTTTAATAACTGGAACTGACTCAGCTGAAAAATTTCCATCTTGTGTTTTTCCCACTATAAAAGCTTTAGTTAAATTGCTGTGTTATGTTAGTTCTGTGTTTTGCCAACTTTTCTGAGACCCTGAAATGAAACAATATTATATACAAAAAAAAGGATCCTTTGCAAAATGAACTCATTGTGTAAATGAATTATGCAAACATTTAGGAAAAACTGAATAAAAAATATTTAGAAATGTTGACATTTGTAGTAATCTTCCACACATATATTTTGAAGTCTAGGGAGGTTAACTGGTATTATTAGACATATTTCACTGTCATTGGAAATTAGCTACACGAAGGCAAGAAAACTAATTAATCTAAAACTCCAGCAGTTCTGCAAACAGTTGTAAAACTTGTTTCTGTCTGTGAAATAAACAGATATGAGAAATGAGAAAGGGCCATTTTTACAGAGTTGCTTTCTTACTCTACTCTTTAAATGATCTAGCGTTACAGACCCATGGACCCTGAGGGACACTAAAATATGTAACTGCTTTGAGGAAGTCACAGCTTTAGCAGCAGGTGGTCTGATTTCCTTAGCAGAGCCTTGTGGATGGGGTGCTGGAAAGTCTCCAGTGTTACAAACCGAATGACTACGGGAGACTAACTGAAATGATTACGGGAGAATAGAAGATAGCAATGTATTATTATGCAGCGTCTTGTTCCCAGAAGGCATTTTCCAGGTTTCGGGCTGGCCTTACTAAATGCATAATACTTTAATATTGCAATATTAAAGTGTTAAGAAGGCACATATGAGAATCTTTCATATTATGGCAACCAAAATACGGAAGATAACATAACTCTATTTTGTACAGTTCACATAAAGGCTCTCAACTCTTCTTTTATATCAAGTTAATGTACAGCATTAAAACAAAGCAGTGAGAAAATCTGTTTCTTAAAAAAGAAGCACATTACTCAGGAAAAAGCATGGGCTCCAGAATAGTGCTTACATTTAATTTTGTGTCGGCTGCTTATTAGCTGGGTCACCACTGGCAAACCTTTCTCGGTCATCTCCTATATAACCAGAGGGCAGTACTTAACCCTCAGGCAGACTGTGAGGATGCAGGGAGCTGTCAGCACAATGACCGACTCATAGGAAGCACTCAACAAATGCTGGCCCTCCCACCTTTACCCCCAAGATCCTGAGAATTTATTATGAAAAATCAACTAGAACAGAGATCATCACAAAACAAAAGGTACTTTGTAAGGAGCATTTTTGATGCCTTGGTCTCTAGTCAACATAAGCTCAAGGTGAGATGTCTGTTGCTGCACATAAGTTTTAATTTATGATGGTCTCATTCTACCTCTTCACAAAGAAAATGACTAGATTTTTGTTTTGTTTTTTCCTTAGCTACTTTGAACTTCTTGCTTTAGTCCTATAGAGCAGAGTCCCTCCTCCAGAATATAAATGCCATTCATAGGAGGTTGCTTAATAAATAAATGATAAGTTGTATTTCTCTAGTCTTATCTTATACGTTTGGGGAACTACTTATTTAAACATTCATGCAACTCTGGGCCATCAATGTTTAAAGCTACTAATATTACTATTAAGGCACATTATAAAATATACTTATGTTAACACTAATAGATACATTAGAAGTTCAATTTTAGCGGAACAGCTTAACACAGTGTGAAAAGACAAAACAAAAACAAAAACAAAAAAACTCCACCAAGATGATGATACCTTCGCACTAAAACCACATTTTATTCACAACTCTTGGCTAGCAGTTTTACTCAGTCTTGTATAGTCTTTCATTTACATACCAAGTTATGTAAATTTTGAGTTTGTTTAATGCAATCTTACAACTGCCACTAAATATTGCTACCTTATTTCCAAACCCACTAAAATGTTGCAAGTTAAACATTTGGTGGAGGTGAATGTAAAGATAACATGTTTAAAATAATATTTCACTTACAAATACTAAAAAATGTTGGTGTTGGTAAAAACCAATTTATAGTTCCGGAATGTGTTGGAATGTGTTGTCTTAAGGAATTTTCAGTGGGAAACTTGAGGAGTAAATTTGCATTTGTCCATATATTGGGATGGTAAGCTATTTAGGTTGACTCATTAAAACAACTCTCCAAAAAGTAAATCACTATTCATTCACAGAATGTTTAACGTGTAGCATGTGATAGCTGTTCTACACTAGGGTAGCTGCAGTGGTGGGGAGACAAACAATGAATAGAACAGGCCGAATCTCTGCCCTGGAGCTGAAAACATTTCAGTGTTCTGTCATTTTTCTTTTCGAATGTTGGACAGAACCACCATCACGGTGATGAGAAAGGCTGAAGGAAGCATCTGACAGATCCCTGTGTCCTCAATCCCGACCAAAGTATTTAAGTAGTACTGATATCAAATCTAGCGTGAACACTGAGAAATACAATTATTTCCTTTCTACTAGTTCTGGAGCAATGTTGAAACTGCTTTTCATTAAGATGAACAACGCAGCAGACAGGTTCAAGAGAGCACTGTCACCATCCACACCACCGAGTTCTCTGACACCTCGTATTCCTGACTCTCCCAGCATGTGAAAACTGTAAACCATGGCCAAACAGTAGTCCCAGGCAAATCAGTGAGGACTGACCTGAAGATCCCAGGCTAAAATTCTATTTAGTAATGGCCAATGATGATATGCTGGCTAATGACTACAGTGAGAAATATAAAAGAATTATGAGTCTCATTATATTTGCCTGTCGATAAAATACATTGCTTCACACACACTCCTATGATATCCAAAAATAACTGTCTTGCCTCCAAGGAGCCCGCAGTATCCATAATTTCTTATTGTAAACTTTTGGATCAGGTTTAAATGTTCAGGAGTAAGATTTGGGTTATTTTTTTAAAGTACAATTTCCATTTTATTTTTCTCCAGTGGACAGTTTTTCTTCAGTTCTTCAGAACTCAGCTCCTGGCCGGGCGTGGTGGCTCACGCCTGTAATCCCAGCACTTTGGGAAGCCGAGGCGGGCAGATCACGAGGTCAGGAGTTCAAGACCAGCCTGACCAATATGGTGAAACCCTATCGGTACTAAAAATACAAAAATAAGCCGGGTGTGGTGGTGCGTGCCTGTAGAACCAGCTACTGAGGAGGTTAAGGCTGGAGAATCACTTGAACCCAGGAGGCACAGGTTGCCATGAGCTGAGATTATGCCATTGCACTCCAGCCTGGGCAACAGAGCGAGACTCTGTCTCAAAAAAAAAAAAAAAAAAAAAAAAAAAGAACTCAGCTCCTTACATGGACTTTGGTAGAGGTCAGAAGGCAGCAAGGTTTGGATTATTTTAAACCTTCGGGAGTAAGGTTTAGGTTATTCTCTCACCATTGTAGACTTGCATTTATTTCTGCTATAACCCATGGTTCAAAAGCATGCATTTTAGAACATATTTAGATTGATTAAACATATTTTACCCCTAAAATATAATAAAATGAATCTAATTTGCGGCGTATGGTAGGTAGCATGCTATTTCTACTAAAAATGTCTGTTTTAACCAAGATGGTTTATTTTTGAAAATGAACAAAGACATTATTGCAAATATTAATCTTCCTTATGTGCTTACAATTTATTGTTTTTCTGACATTTGCATTTTATACATAACCTGAGTTTAATGGTCATACTTAGTGAAGATTAAAAAAATTGGAGATGATCAACTCACAAGATCTTTCTTAAGAACTGTATCACTGTATAACAAAAAAGTAAATGATGGTTGCTTTGGATATTACCTTGTTTGGGAAGTACCAATTATAAAATTCTCTCTATGTTTTTATGTATCAGATTTCTGTTTCACAGCTAACAGGTCAACCATCAATTCAACAATCCTTTCTCTTACTCAGCAATCCTTTTGCACACTCTTTCTTTCATCCATTCTTTAGTTTATTCTCTTAACCATCCCGTTCATCCACTCAACAAATATTTATTGAGTGCTACTATGTTCCTGGTGCTGCACCAGGTGCTGGGTTGCAGCTATGACTAAGACATGGGCCTCTCCTTCTAGGAGCTCAATCTAGTAGGGGGCAAAAACATACATGGAGTAAACTAATACTTTAGAGTAAACTAATACTTTATAATGCAATGTGATCAGTGTAACCACAAAATTTCATACAGAGTACACACAGAGTACAAAAGTACAGAGATAATAGGCTAGTAATTACATATTATAGATGTGAGAAGTTGAAAAAACTGCATCTACATTGGGTTTTGAAAGCTGAGAATTGGAATGCCTGGTCTGTAAGAGGGGTACTGGCTCCCAGACAGGGGAACAGCAAATGCAAAGACTAGCAGATATAAAATAACATGATGTTTCAGAACTAAAGAAAGTCTGGTGTCATTAGAATCCACAAGAATCACAATTTCTTCCCTTTTGATGATGTAGATAAAATATGCTAACTTTTGGCTGGGCGCTGTGGCTGACGCCTGTAATCCCAGCACTTTGGGAGGCTGAGGCAGGTGGATCACGAGGTCAGGAGTTTGAGACCAATCTAGCCAACATAGTGAAATCCCATCTCTACTAAAAATACAAAAAATTAGCCAGGTGTGGTGGTGTGCACCTGTAATCCCATCTACTTGTGAGGCTGAGGCAGGAGAATCACGTGAACCCGGGAAGCAGAGGTTGCAGTGAGCTAAGATCATACCACTGCACTCCAGCCCAGGCGACAGTATAAGACTCCATCTCAGGGGAAAAAAAAATAAAATTTGCTAACTTTTTGAAATCTGAAATCAATCTCATTCTCCATGATTCCTAAAATAATCCAGATGGTAAAATCAATCCACCAATTCTTTTACCTTAGAGTACCATTACTTTAGCATGAAGATGTTTCCATCCAGTTGCTACTTTTCTCCTTTCACAGATCCTTCCCTTGCCTCCCCTCTCCTGGCACCTGCCATCTAGCAGGAAGCCATTATGGTTACAATGATCATCAACCTTCTGGTCACCAGTGGGTGGCAACAGCAACATGGAATACATGTTGGTCCAGGGTTTTGTCTGTGGTATTCAGCTGATAGCTAACACATTCCTGAGTTCTTAGGAAAAGCTAAATAGCTGTTTTAGGCAAAGGAGATGGGCAGCAGCAGGAAATTTATCTGATGCATTTCCTATGAAGAAGTGGGTGGTCATTTATGCTGGATTTCACTTCTTTCCTTTTTGGGCTTTTTGGCTTATTTTATTTAATGGAAGGAGCTACATATATTAGAGACTCACTGAATGTTTAGGACCTGGAGGTCATTATATTGGCCTGATTTATGAATTGAAGTCACTAGCAGACAACAAAAAGGCAAACTAAGTATCATGTGGAAGGGATTAAGGTGATTTTATTAACACACTTACAAATCTGGAAATATTCTGTTAAGGATAATAACGGTATTAACAGTGGTCTTTCCCTAATAATTACGAATAAATGGTTTTATTCACAATTTCATGAGCTAGAACTCTCACTGTATTCTTTTTATCACCAGAGAAAGAGAACTGACATATGAATTTACTAACTGAATTTACTGACAAACTGCCAGGTAATGGAATAGGTGCTTTCCTATGAGGAATCCTAGGATGCAAACTTTTAGATGAAGGGAAAGGTGGAGGGAGGAGAATACAACCTTGAAAGCAGGTATTACTATTCCCCTCCTGTACACTGAGACACTGAGTCAGAGGTTAAGTACTCTGTCAAGTTAGTAGTAGGCTGTTTTTGCAGCTCTATTATATTTTTGAACAAGTAGCAAAAGGAGGCAGAATTGTGAATGTTTTAGAGCAGGAGCTCTGAGATCAGTTGGCATGGACCCAAGGCCCAGATCTGTCACTAATAACCTTGGGAACTTCACCTCTCAAAGCCCCAGTTTCCTTATCTGGAAAAAAAAATGGAGATGATGGATCTGTAAGGGGTTGTTACTGGGACTTAGTGAGATAGTGCACATAAATGCAAGGGAAGCACCTGGCACATAGTGCCATAGTGAGCGCTCAACAAAGGTCGGTGCTATTATTTTCAAAAAAGTAGCACACACTGGTGTGTGATGAGTTCTTTCAGCATACTGAGAGCAAGAGAGAGCTGGAAGCCAAGGTCTCACTGAGTTCTGACACCTACTCCATTGTGTCAAAATGAATAACAACAGCGAATCATGATTAATGTGACAAATACCAGAGTAAAACATTTCCTATAGTTTAGCCAAAACTTCAGCTTACTTTAGTATGATGAACATGAAGAATAAAGAAATTATCTTCATAATTGTGTTTTATAATAGACTGCAACTAATTTTAATTTCTTTCTTACGACACTTTGTGAATTTAGTGGATTTGATTAGCTTTCTAACTTTGCTTTACTTTGGTGGGGGGTGGTGATACGGAAGAGAACTGGGGAGACATAATTCACTTCATATATGATATATATCCAGGTCAGTTCCTAATAACTACTGAACCACAAATGCAATTATATAAGGTAGTTTGTCTTATATCAAACTATGGTTTTGATTACATACTATTTTATTATGGATCCTATTTCAAGCTAAAAGTCTTTTTCTTTTCTTGCAGTTTAATAACACAATGTTTGTAACTACCATTTATTTAATGCTCATTAAAGACTGTGCACTATGCTAAGTGCTTTATAATATTTTATTCAACTCTTTCAACTAACCATTAGGTAGGTATTATTGCCCCCATTTTATTGATGAGGAAATTGAGGCTCAGTAGGATTGAGCAACGTAGCCAAGGCCACACAGTTTAGAAAGTGACAGATTTGATGTAAATCCACATCTCTCTGATTCCCAAACCTGCCAGTGACATTGCCAGCTCCATGCTGGCTGATAAATACAAGTCTTAATCACTTATTTCCAACCACTAGTACGAGATAAATTTAAAGTTTATTTGGAAAAGAACATATTCACTGTGTATTTTACCTTTTTCCAAGTACAACTGCTCCTGGGTCTTGAGATTTTGCCTCCAGCTCCTGAACTTCATCGACCAATGTTTTAAAAGCAGTCCTTTTGATCCTGCAAAAAGAAAAAAAAAAAAAAAAGGGATTTGCATGGAAATACTCTTGTGAAGACTTTACAGAACTAGATGTCTGGCTTATTATCAAGGCTGCTGACAAGGTACAACAGTAACAAGAGTACAAGCAGTTTTTCAACAGAATCTTAAAAATTACCATAATTTTGAGCATTAATATAGAAATTATATGGTTTTAAAATAAATGATGGTTTAGGTTTACAATATTAAAACTCTCATAATTATTTAAATAAACATCATGTAATAAATGCTATCTTTTTTGGGGGAAGAGATAAGATTTTAAAACTTATAACCCTTGAAAAAAATTAGTAATGTTTTCATTTTATATATGTTTGGAATCAGGCAAGGAAAACACTTCTTTTTATATTAATAAAAAATGTGTTTGGAAATAGTACAATTTTCTTCTACTACTCTGTATGGGTTTTGGGGCTGTTTCTAAAAATCATGCTCCCTGATGTAATTTTCTCCAATGCCATATACTTTTCTCTGTTAACTGAAACTACCTTTTTACTTCTCATTTAGTCTTTTAAACTAGTTTTCTAGTTCCTGAATCACCCCTTCCTTATTTAAAATTAAGTAATATTACCAGTCCCTATCCTGCAAACTCTACATGCTTGAGTTGATGTTACAAAGAGAGAAATCTGAGAATTAATATGCATCCATATTTTTCTGTATAGAACAGAGTATGTACTTACACCTTGTACACCACATCAAGGAGCAGAGACGCCACAGGGATGAATAACAAGCCCATCCAAAAGACGCCGGAACTGAACAACATGGCTGCCTGTGTAAACCGGCAGAAACAACATAACTTTAAAATCAAAAAACACATGATTTGTGTTTGGTTTTTATGTAATTTTAAATAAAACTATTTTAAGAATATCACTCTATAAGAGAGTATACAACTCTGAATTCCAAGTTATGAAATTAACTTAGAATACAGAAATAAATTTTTGAGCAAATTTAAAATATAATCTGGATTAAATTCTCTTATAATAATATGTGGTATAAAATAAATCATAATTAGAAACTAAATTTACTAGTTCTGGCAAATGAAAATTACTTTTGTACAATTATAGGATATTAAAAATCATCCAGATAAATCATGACTACACTATAATCAAACTAAGATACCTACAAAAACAACAATTTGATTATTTTTGGCTAATATTAGGTAGGAATAATCTTAATTTTTGTTCAGTGATTTATGTAACTGGTATTGGTGCACAGCTGTTATGGCTAAAGTCAAGCCAATATCTTGTATGTAAAAGCCAAATAAAAGTATATTAAATATAACTTTAATAATTCCTTTATATTAAATACCAAATTGCTGTATTAGAGCTTTTTAGGGTTGCAAAAAAAAAAAAAAAAGATTCTATAACTTAAAAATAAATTCTATTATTTATTTGCAATTATAACAAAATATATCTTTGTAATATAGTTAGATTACACAGAACTTAAAAGGAATAGTATTATACAATAAAAAAGCAAAATAAATATTTTGGTTTCACTTCTTTTAACCTGTTTATCAAGAGTACATTTTCAGTATCTATTTAAATCCATAAAGGTATGGTTCTAATTCCATTAAAAAGTAGCCAACTAATGCACACACATTTAGATTCTACTAAAAATCACACAAAATTAAAAAAAGTTCAGGTATGGTTCAGGAATTAAAAATAACCTAGAGTTTAATTATTGTAGGCAATTTCACAATTACACTTAAGTAGTCTTAATCAGTCCTTATGACACATGCAGATTATGAATTTTAAATTATATTTCAGATTACCTATTCATTCTGACTCTCAATTAAGAACTAGGAACTGCTGTTTAAATTTTTTTCTGCATTGACATGAGCTTATCCATACAGATCGTAGGTTCAAGGAAACTAAGATTTTTCACCATGTAGAAGTGAATAGCGCTAAATGCTTTTAAAATAAAAACATGCTATTACAAAAAATTCCAGAAAATAAGTTTTGCCACGTGGGTTCAATGAAATAGCAACCATATTCTAGACACCAACAAGGTGAAACATATTCACATAAAAGTCACTTTATTTAATAAGCAAAACATGATCTTTGACATGTTTGTTGACATCCTCAACAGTGAAAACCAACAATAACTCTGTAATAGGAAATGTCTATCAAGCCAGTGGATTTTCTTTAGTTTGAAAGAAGCTTTCTAGTAAGGTAACAACTGTAAAAAACCAATTTCTCCTTCTGGGGGGAAAGGTAAGATAAGAATTCCAAGGCATGTAACTGAAAATACCACACTTACTTGGCTTAATTTTAATATATTTTAATTTGGTGGGGGCGGGGGCAAGAGAAGGAGGATTTATTCTTGCCTTCGCTACCTCGTATTAAATGTCCACCGATGGAAAAGGCAAAAGTGGTGGAGATTCAAGGCTGCTAATTCTGACCATTGTGATGCTAACGACGGACGGAGGAGTGACTGGCGCCCCACCATTCAGTCCACCAGCCTTTGGCTTTACAAACGAACAACATGAATTGAGGGGAAAAAAGTTTTTCTGCGTCATATCTGAAAGCCTGTCAGATTTTTTTTTCTTTTGCAGAGTTAATCCAAACCTAAAAGATTTAAAGCCGACATTCGCATTAAAGACAGAGAGTCTCTTTGTATTTTTTGGATGAAGAGAGAGGAAGAATAAAATCCCACAGAGGTATTTCCTTCCTTTCTGTATAAGAAAGCTCCCCCTCACTCCGAAGAAACCAGTTTTGTCTTTAACTTTTCACATTTCCCCACTCGCAGGCAGGTCAGCTGGGAAAAGACGAAGGGATCCTGAGACAATGGTGGTAACAGGAGCAGCCTGTTCGGGGCTGGGCTCTGGTTCCCTCCGAGAGCAGTTTGCAAATTGCTCCTAATGTGGGAGACCGGTGCACCAGGCCAAGTGGCCCCCACTGCCCCTCCTAGAGGCCCTGTGAAACCAAATGGAATCTGCCACAAAAGTGGCTCCCAGGGGACTTGAGAAGGGATCAGCTGAGGAAGCTGCAAAGCTGGTAACTGGAGGGCACAGGCCCTGTGTGGGGAACAAGCAATCGCTTGTCCCTGCAGAGGGAGGTTGGCTCAAAATCGAACCACTGGGTCTTCAAAAATAAAGCAACGCTGCCTGAAAATGCAACTTGCAACAGAGGAATTGTTCTGAAATTTCTGTGTGAAGTTTCAGAGAACGAATGTTTGAGAAAATACGAGTTTATGTGCATTTGGCCAAGCCAAGGGGCGTGACGAGTATAAGCGGTTTACCTTCTGACCCACATGGCATGATCTGTTAGCACCTATGTTCCCACACCAGACAGAAACTCTTCTTCATCTTCAATGTGCCCAAGTTCAGACACATAGGGGAGAGAATTCAAGTGTGTCACCTGCCTACAAGCCTTTAACAACGTGGTTCTTCAGTCTACTTCTATGTGCTTACACTGTCAGTATCAGAGTGACATGCTGTGACTTTTACTCATGGAAATGTATAGACAGCTGAAACAGAAGGCCGTTTGGCAAACCCTAAGACTGTCTCCATGGACCCCAGTTGAAGCAGGTCTGGAAGTGGTCCTGGCACTGCCCTTCCCAGCTAGTCAGACACTTGAGAAGTAACTTCTCAGTATCGGTTTCCTCAGCTGTACAGTGGATTGTAAGAATTAAACTCAATGTTTGTAAAGTGGCTATATAGTGCTGATTATTAATAAACTTTCTTCATTTCAATTGTCAAATGTCTTTAAATGCTCTAGTGTCTTGTTTTTTCCAGTGATCTGTCCCATGAACTTCATGGAAGAAAATTTTTATGACAATATCAAATTAACTGTAAATCAATTTACAGATTTTATGATTAATATCACAACATATGCTTGTCTTATCTGCGATTTTAAAACGCAATGCTGAAACATAGGCCAAAGTGCCATTCAACTCAATTTGCCAATTTAGGAAATGGAGAAAAATAATTTTTTCAAAGAAATTATTAACTACATAGGCATAACAGATTAATTTTGGAAGGGAAAATTATTCAGAAAACAGTGCTTCAACACATTATTTTTTGGAAGGGAGTGCAGTAAGAGAAATGAGTAACTTCCAGAGGGGGTTACATTAACGTTGGCAACAACAAAAAACCAAGAAGTGATTATTTATTAAGTGTCTGGACGGAGCCTTACATAAAGGCTTTCAAAGCTTAAAAACAGTGAGAAACAGTGAAAGGTTGCTTTAAAGAACTGATTCACGAAAATGTAGAACTTCTGTGTGTTCGAAAAAATAACTAAAAAAGTAAACAATAAAAAACTGGGAGAATGACTACTACAAATACATGAAATTCTGGGTTAATATCTGATCAGAAAAATAGCCCACCTATCTTCATAAGAATAGCTGCAATCTCAAGAGACAGGGAAAAGACCTGAAAAGGTATTCATAAAAGCAGCAGCATGTAATCAATAGCATGGAAAAGTGTTGAGCCATTTTGCAGTCCTAGAGAAACACTGACAAATTAGATTAGATTTTAAAAATCCAGTATCACAGTTTGGTGGAGTGAGTGGTGTATGGTGGAACAGGTAATTGTAGCAATTTATATTCCCATCAGCAATGAAGTAGCCTTTGGAAAAGGTAACTAGCAATGTGCACCAACACCACAAACATTTATTCCTATTAATTCGATAATTCCATTTCTGAACTATGTGTTAAAATGAGGTCCAGCTTTTGCTAATCAGTATCTCATGAAACTGTCCCGTGGTTGCTAATCCTGAAAGCATCCCTCCAAAGGGCCCATTGCCAGAGATTTAGTAAAGGTGAAAAGAAACCACAGCAGCATCCTCTTGGAGAGTCACAGTGCAGAGTAGCACAAGGCTTCAAGAAGTCAGAGTAGGCTGGACATGCGGCTCACGCTTGTAATCCCAGTACTTTGGGAGGCCAAGGTAGGTGGATCACTTGAGGTCAGGAGATCGAGACCATCCTGGCCAACATGGTGAAACCCTCGTCTCTACTAAAAATACAAAAATTAGCTGGGTGTGGTGGCATGTGCCTGTAATCCCAGCTACTTGGGAGGCTGAGGCAGGAGAATTGCTTGAACCTGTGAGACGGAGGTTGCAGTGAGCGGAGATCGCACCACTGCACTCCAGCCTGGCAACAGAGCGAGACTCTATCTCACAAAAACAAAAACAAACAAAAAGTCAGTGTAAAGCACCCTACTGAATAGTTTTTTTAAACCAAGGTTTCCTTAAGTCATCTACTTATTACGGAACACTTTCCCCCATATCCTTCTTAAAAATATTCCACACAACTAATTTTGGGGAAAGCAAATATTGGTTGTGGGTTGTTTTAAATAACAAAATACTAGTTAAAGCTAACAGAGCACTATGTGGCTGATTAGGCAAACGTGCATCCCTAGGTCAGAATGTTATCCAAGCTGTTGAAGATATTCACAGATTGTAATGATCAGAAAATTGATAGTTAGAGTCTTGAAGGGAAAGGTAAACTGCCCTGGTATTCTCCCAGAAGCCTTCTGTTAGCACACAAACACCCTCCCTGGAAGGATTTGCAGTTTGTATCATCATCTATATGGAAATCAGCCACAAATCACCCGTGGCTTAGATTTCTCACCGGAATTTGAAGCACAGACTAGACTATTGAGCTCCAAACTTGCATGTTGCACAGGCACCTCAAACCTCACACATCCCACACTGAACACACTGTCTTCCCTCCAAAGCCTGCTTTACTTTGGCACAAGCTATTCAGGGAATGGTGTCATCCTTGGCTGCCCAAGACAGAAACCTGCGCCCTATTCCTGAATTGGCTTTT